ACTTGCCTTAAGAATTCTTACTGGACCCATCCAAGCTTCTCCACTCCATTTTCGGTAGAATATTACCGCTTTTCCTTCGTGGTTCCTCACAAACTTAAAATAATGTGGCTGCACATGCTGATGTAGGTCGTTGCTGTGAGGTTGTAGCCACTCTTTGATGCCATACATCCATTCTGGTCTATGTGCCTCGGGGTGTGGTTTGTTTGTGCACCCTTCAAATGACTGACACAGATCTAAAAAGTAATCGAATAACGGCTCTTGCGATGTTTTGACGTATGGTCCTATAGCTCATACAATGTCAGTTACTGTATGATTGTAGTTACATTAAAGCAAAACTTACCATCAAATGTATATATATCCTGGATCTGAAGTTTCTTTGAAAATATTCCAAATAACGCGTCGATATCTTCGTGCGTATGGCCAACTGGAAGGAAGTTACCTTTAACCTATTTTAAAAGATACATCAATAAAAATTATCATTAATATATAAGATCATTCAATTGTTTTTGAAAATTAACTGCCTTATATTCTCGTAGATAAAGCTCCTAGGTAGGTTTCTTGAAAATATTAAATTGCTATCTAAAAATGATACGAGGACATATATTATTTTTTTGCAAATCACTTTCTTATCTTTAGCTGATATAAAATATTTTCATTAATTATGCTAGATCTGCCAAGTTTTTTTAAACGAAACCATGCTTGATGGAAACAAGACCCATGAATTCCTTGATGATATACAGTAGCCAAAGTAAAAAAGGCGCACGAATTTTAGCTCTTAATATTGAATTAAGAAACAAAACTTGAAGCAATAACTGTACCTTATCAAAAATTGATAACTCAACCAAAAGAGACAACAACGTAAAAACATGTCTGTTTTTATTCTCTCGCCAGCAATTGTCCAATTGAAGGTGAAAAACTGGTGGCAAACCATACCGACGGTTAACGATTTCCAGCGTTTGTAGGATAATATTGTTGGTCAAGTTGCTGTCATCATGGTCCCACTGAAACACGTAAAAAAAAAAAAAGGTAGAATTTCCCCATCGGACACAGCCCACTGTGTACTATCGCTCCGGTCAAATGTGTACGAAGCTTTTGAAGGTTGGCTGTTGATTTGCATATGCGACGAACATTGGGAATATCAGTCTTAGACTGATCCATACCATCTAAGATTATGGTTAGGTACTTCTCGGGGTGTTTCCTTGCTTTGTAGCGATGCAGATGGTATTTCTCTCTTTCGTTCCTATTTTTAAAAACATTTTTCATTATTAATTATGCAATTTTCCCTGTTTGACAAACACCTATAAAACAGCAACTGTGAAGCGGTCATCATACCAATACAATAGCATTTTCGTACCCAGAACACTCCTTACGCACGGGTAGTGACGAAATTTTAAATTATTTTGTATCCATACTATTTCGATTGTCTATATATCCGAGTATGGAAAATTGGAAATATACAATTATTATCGATCATCAAAATCCATTTCTATTTCCAATAAAGTTCCATACAATTTCCATTCTAAGACCTTATATGGATTTTCTAAATTTTTCCAGGGTACACTCATTTAATTAGAAACACTATGCCATAATCATAATGATAACACTAAGTGAAATATGAACAAAGACCATGTTAATCCACTCTGGTCATCTAATGCAGCTTAAGCGTTCAATAAGACGACGCGAAGTGCCCAAGGTCGCTTAATACGTGTGGCTGATTAATAGTAGTTTTTACAGGAGATAACTGTGTGAATAGTCAGAACTTCAGTGATAGGCCGCTTAATAAAGTAGTCTCTCAATACATGGCTGCTTAATACAGGTATGACTGTATGTCTACACACCAATGTTCAACATATAATAACATTTATTTTGTAATTTTGATGATATATTTCGAATTTCGAAATTTCTCACCACCTGACGATTCCTATACGGATGAAACAGACTGTTGTGGTTTTTTGAGGTAAAACGAAAAACTATATTATGCTCTATCTATATGGTATTGAGCGCTGTTTGTGTTTCGTTAAACCAAAATCTTAAGATATATATATATATATATATATATATATATATATATATATATATATATATATATATATATATATATATATATATAGTATTTCATATATCAATCTTCTTGCTTTCTTTCTTATGTGTCGTAACTTCTAGCATTTCTTTGTAATGAGTGCATTGATCACACTTTGTGAATCGGTTTTCCTTTAACGAAACAATAAAAAAAATTAAACAATTAAAATTGTATCAATTGTAAAATGGTATCTTGGTTAGATCACAGCTCAGGGCGCAGAGATACTAAAACCTTTAGCATAAATCTATTAACAATTTGTCAGTGCTCTTTTCTCCCTATTACTTAAATAATTATCAATTATTGGACGAGGTTGAGCAAAATATCGTGATTTGTCGGTGGCGAGCAGATCAATTATTTGCCGATGCCGAAGGCAGAGGCAAATAATTGATCTGCGAGCCACCGACAAATCACGATATTTTGCGAGAACCGAGTTCAATAATTGTTTTATCATTCACTTCATTTTATCTTTCGTTCAATATAAATTCGCCGTCTCTCTTTCTTGCTTCTGCATTAAACTTGGAAGGACGTTGGCATGCAAGAGTTTCTTTTGTAGTTTTAAGCCAACTAAATCTTCTTTGTTGATTTAGTCTTGCTTCTAAATGCTGGCGAAAGACATTTACGGCGGTTTTAGTTGCTTTTTTATTTTTAAATAAGCAAGACAACGCATTTTCCGAAAGTTCAGCAAAGCGAGCCGCCATTGTTTACAAAAATTGAAGGCAATGCGCATGCTCAGACTATTATTTGTAGCTGAGCAACGTTTTTAACAAATGCGCATGCTCAGACTATTATTTGCACGCAGTTATTTGCAGGTAAATTAACCAATCAAAATTGAGAACACTATAAAGTGAATGATAATTATAATTATCGCAATTATAGAATACTAGGCCAATCAAAACATCACTGTTATTCTAATGGTAATATAATAGCAATGTTGCAGTACTTAGCAAAAGCATAAAATAAAATTATTTCATGCCTGACACAGATCCAAAGTTTTTCCCTAACCTGGGAATACCTACAAAACATGCACCTACGTTGTCACGAAATGGACGTGTTTCAATGGCCAGGTATTTTATACTTGTAACAACGATTTCAAAATGTAACAACGGTCATCTTTACCTTGGGGATCACTGCATTAGGCAACTGTTTTTCCATTACGTTGTAGAACTGGGATTGACTCACGATGACATGCTCATCAAGTTCACGGCACATTCGCTTATACAAACTGAGTTTTGTGAAACATGAGGGCAGGTGAATTAAAGCACTATCCGGTTGGTGATCACCAATGCTATTTACAAGGAAATTTAGATCAAAACATGTTTTACGTATTTTATTATATCATATTGTCTTTAAAAAGACAGAGAACACTGCATTATATTTTGTATACAATGTTCCAGATAAATATTTTTCTCAAAAATGCATATTGCTTTCCCACAGATGAACGTTGGAAATAAGCTGTTAAAAACCATAAAGTCAAGATTAATTTCAAAAAATATTAGCCTTAGCCTTTTACATACAGCTTTGTTTTCCAAGGGCAAGAATGAATCAAGCGTAGTCATGAAAGAGTTCCTGCAAAGACTACAACGATCAGGAGTGCCTGAGGGTAAAGATGAGGTGGACAATGAAGTTATCGTACATAAGACGGATGGCCCACTGGACATTGTACAAGGACAAATAAAAAACGACAAAGGCATTTCTCTTGCAATCTACAGATTGCCAAACAATATAGAAGAACAGGTAAACAAACTTCACAGAGATTGATATTCTGGTTGCATGCATGCATGTGCACAATAAATAAGAGTCACCTCGCAAAAAATGTACGGGCACATTTTAATTAAAACTGTCAGTAATGGCTAATGCAGTTTATTAAAGTAAATATACTATCATTTTATTGCTAATAACCGTTCAAGCGATATGTGAGGTTAATATGTATCCTTGTTCCCAGACCCAGGCTTGGGTGGCCCTGCTGTTCGACAATCCTGTTGAATTGCGTCGAAGTTCGGAAGCAGATTTTTGTGTCTGTGGATGAGGATGGCAGATAGAATGCAAATGTTTATCGACATATTAATTTGGTGTTACTAATAGTATTATTACAGAGTGCGCGTATTTTAGCTATTTTGTACAATTTGTAACGGCGATAAGTAATAAGAATTAAAGAGAAAGATATATTTTAGATAATTATTTTATATTATCTTTAGTGTCTTCACGGATGCATAGAAAAAGTATTGGGACTGGTGCCACGATTAAATTTTGGCCTGAAGCAATTTTATAACATCGTTATTCTCGGTTCAGTCGCCGATATAACAAAGGCGGAGCAACGAATTAGAGAAAATTATAGGGGAGAAAACGAAATAGGATTCTATGCGTGGAATACCACCACAGGCAGTAATAATAAATCAGGTAATAAAATAAGCATTTTTATACAACTGCTTTTGGCGATTAGAATAATCGGTAAAAGATAACAATCAGATAACAATATCAACAAACACATTTTTACGCATTTCAATATATATAGGAATACAAACAGAACCTTGTAGCGGTGATGCTGGGGTTGCCGGACATTTTGCTCCACTGACTGGACTAAAAATGGAGATGTTTGCACGTTCTTTAAATAGTTTTAGTTATTCTTATAGTTTTCTTTCTTGAAGGAAATCTTGGAATGATCAATTGTGCCGAGTCATTTCTTATTCACCATGCAGCGGTTGGCAACAATGTTCTACCAGAGCACTTTAATTTTGGGGAGGAGTTAGTTTCTAACTTCATAGGAAATGACAATAACAATGACATATTAGAGAGGCTAATAGGATTATTCAGCCAAGAATGCGACTGGATACTCGACATAAACTCGAGTAAAGGTAAGAGAATGTTACCTTAAAGAACCGACAACAAGTTCCCTAAATAGTATAAACTATCATCCTCGTTTTCTAAAATGCATTACATTTTTTGCAGCATCCGCCACTCTCATGGCATTGAAAACAAAAAGAAACGCCATCTATCTTTGCGAAACAAACGACGAAGAATTTTATGTTAAAAGAGAAATATCAGACACCAAAAGAAATCGCTTAGACGGCTGACCTAAACACTCAAAAATACATCAGGTCTCTGGCTAAGGTATTTCTTATTTTACTCGCATGTGCTATTGCTCCAAGGGCTAGTTTCCTTCAATTAAACAGTTAACATTTTTGATTTGGTCCGGAGGTGAATAGTGCAAGGATTTCCGAACTTGAACAGCTAATTATCAACTTGCGCGAAAGCACAACCCACCTCCCGAGTATTAGAGTATATGTTAATATAAATTATATACACAAGGTCTGGATATGTGGTATTCATCAATCTGATTGGTTCTCTACTAGCTGGAAAATAGCTCAATATCCTGCCAGTAGAGAAAACAAAATGGCAGCTCAAATTTAATTTCCGACGTTTTGCTAAGGAGAAAACGGCAAGTTCGCTTTTTATAGCCTTTACAGGATTAAAAACACAATGAAAAACTCCCACAAATTGTTTACAGGTTAGCAAATGAATTTTCAAAATTTAAAATGGTTAAAAATAATATATTTGTGAAAAAATTATCAGCCGAACGAGCAAAGATAAAAAAATAAACAAAATAGAAAAATATTGAAAATATCCGAAAAGCAAAGTCACGGAATTCAGACATTGTGTATATAATAAAACAGTTATTCCACTCACTCTCGTCAAATACAAGCGATAGTCAGCTCATATTCGACTTGAGCTCGGTGAATAACTGTTCATTATATCGTGTCAAACGAACACAAGAACTTAATTAATATTAGCTAGATAAATAGATAAATATACTAAAGACATTGGTAACATAATGCTTTCTAGATCGTAAATTTTGATAACATGTAATCTAGTGCATATAATGGCCATAAAATAAAGTATGAATTTTAGCGAATAATAAGAATTTCTAATAACTTTTAAGCACAAAAATATGGAAAACATTCTGATACAATGACGGTGGTTGCTCAAAGCTCGTCAGCACTAACGGTCCTGGGTTAAAAACTGTTTGGTTCGTGTCAGTAGAGAGTTTAAGTTCGACTTCCAATACCAATACCGATACCAATGTTTTCACTTCCGTTCTGATTTTGGTACCGGGAATTTTAAAGCGTTAAGTTATCACGACAGATAAAGTATACAACACATTAATCGTCACCGAAAATGTTCGGCATATTAAACGGCAGCTGAGCTAAAATTTCGACTAAAACATGACTCAGGCGATGCTAATAAACAAATAGTTTACATGTTTATTGTAAAAATTATGAAATATCCGATTTATATGAGTTTATCTCCCAATTCCCCCGACTTCCAATACAAGGCCGACTTCGGTAGTGGCGACTTCCAATACACTTGTCCTCGTGCTTGTTGCGAGCAGAGAGCATGCGCATGAAATGTTGTTAGTATCGGTATTGGTATCGGAAGTCGAACTTAAACTCTCTAGTGGCGAAGCCAGCCCGACAATTTGGTCATGCTATGCAAATATTTCCGTGTTCATAAACCGTGAAAACAATCAATTTCGGAAGAAATGAATAATGATAATGATTTAAAATGTGCATAGCATGACCAAATTGTCGGGCTGGCTTCGCCACTGGTTCGTGTGTGTGTACCAAGGGTCCTTTAATTTATTTTGGCACCTGACTTCCAACGATTTATATTATTATACACAATATATATACATGCAGCCAAACAAACACAATACACTTCGGGTTTCAAAAGTATCAGAATTTCTGATACTTTGGACTATCAGTTTCTGCAGTTTTAAGCTAGTATATTTCACAAAAAGAGGATTTCAAAGGTATCAGAATTTCTGATACTTTGAACTACCAGTCTCTGTAGTTTTAATGACATTCGATGTATAGAGGATTTCAAAAGTATCAGAATTTCTGATACTTTGGACTGCCAGTCTCTGCAGTTTTAGTGATATTTGAGATATAGAAGATTTCAAAAGTATCAGAATTTCTGATACTTTGGACTGCCAGTCTCTGCAGTTTTAATGATATTTGAGGTATAGAGGATTTCAAAAGTATCAGAATTTCTGATACTTTGGACTACCAGTCTCTGCAGTTTTAATGATATTTGAGGTATAGAGGATTTCAAAGGTATCAGAATTTCTGATACTTTGGACTACCAGTCTCTGCAGTTTTAATGATATTTGAGGTATAGAGGATTTCAAAGGTATCAGAATTTCTGATACTTTGGACTGCCAGTCTCTGCAGTTTTAATGATATTTGAGGTATAGAGGATTTCAAAAGTATCAGAATTTATGATACTTTGGACTACATACTACTATATTTTGGATACTTTGGATACTTTGGATAGCACGCAATGCTATTAAATCAGGTCAAAAATACAAAGTAAGTTTTTAAAAAATTAGTAAATTAACACTGACACTAGTTTACAGTTCAAACTTTTGGATAAAATGCATTTGTAAAGTTAGCTTTTGTTCAAGTATAAAGTATTTCATGCATATTTTGTTTTTCCATCAACAACGATTAAATTACTTTTATATTTCAAGATAACTCAACTTGATTGAAAGAATATCACGCAATTGCAACGAGCTTTTGCTTATACTAAAAGCCTTATCGACTTGTTTTAACTAACAGACATATCGTTATGAAGGCCAGTTCATATTAAAATGTATATATCTACATTGACATTAGGACCATTTATATGAGCGAAAATATTTATAGCTGCGGCTTTGAGATGGCGGTCTCAAGCGACTCGTGTGCTGTAAACGGTCAATTTGTCCGCAAACGGCAAGCGGCGTCTAAAAAGACAACAGGGTTGAAATCTAGGCCTGAGTCACTATTCGGGCCGCAGCTTAAGACTTAATTTCGCCATTGCATTGTGAGACTTGTGACAAAGATGAAAATCGGATTTATTTCGGCCTTGAATATTTTGTAGGCTTTTCTATCTAAAGTTTTTATACCTATAAAAATATTGTTCGCAATGCATGCATGGTTTTGAAAGCGTAATAATTACATTTAAAATAAATTATGTATTGCGGTATCACGCGCAAAACTCTGTACAGAACAGGTAAACGTTGAGATTAATTACTTACATTTAGAAGAAACTTGAAGACTGTCTCCAATGCATATATTGCCAATGCCTTGAATCTCAAAGTCGCACAGAAACTTTGCGAGGGAGACTATCATTTGACTTCAACTTCGCCTGGCTGAAGAATTACCGAGAATGTAGCGCGATACATAACGATGATCATTGTTGAAAATCCGCAACTTTTCCCTTGTTCGACCAATGGTTCGCTGCTTGAAAGCGATGCCTGAGTATAGCAAAATAAAACCAACTCAAATTGCGCGCCTTGTCATCCGAGACAAAACAAATTAAATTTTTAACGTAACGCTCTTGTCATGCTCAGTTTCTTTCAATTTTCGCCGGATATGATAATAATCTCACAATTTCATGGCAAGCAAAGGAATTTCTGTTGCTTGTCTCGCTCTGCCTCGCTATATTATCGTCCATGTTTTGCTGTAAAAGCAGCGTGACAATTGTCTCGTTTGAGCGAGACAATTTGTCTTCCGATGTCACGCTCATTCAAGCCAAATTCGCGGCCATAAACAGGCGATACAAATGTCTCGTTCGTAACAGGCAGCGAGACAAAACCAATGTCTGGTTGCATCTCGCTCAATTACCGCTGCTTTAATTGGTTTATGGCCAGATTCTGGCCAGAATCTTGTTCAGTCAGGCTGTAACTTTTCGTACGGGTTGTGTTAAACACTCTTTCTTGCTCTTCAACATTGGTGGGTCTTCCACTGATTAAGCGATGCTGCATGGCTGCATGGGATGTTATGTCATGGAAATAATTGCCATACAGCTTTCGGGTTGTCATTTCCTTCAGCGTAAAACCAAATACTTCCTGGCATAAAATCCTATGATACCATGTCATATTGTGGAGTCGCAGGACTGATTTGGGGGTTCTTTCGTTCTCTGAGCTGTAAGCAAGCCTCTGAATTTCTACCAAAGAGGTCAGGAGTTGTCGGATACGATGAGATGATATCTTGGCAGAATGTTGTGCAAGAATGACTATAGCACGCCGTTAATCAAAAGTCCGCTTGGTATCTTTTCCTTCCATTGAAAGTTTGATGACTTCTTCTACGTCTTTGGCTTCTTCTGCTGGCAGGTGGGCTGGGAGTTCTGTCAGGAAATTCTCTATGTGTTTGCCAATGTCGTGTAGAGGTTCAAAGGAAAGTATCTCATAGTTCTCACAGTTAATCGATTCCAGTGAAGTGGTAGGTGTATTGTAAAGCAAGACAGGGACCCGCTGGACACCATGCATTTCATCTTGCAGAAGCTTTTCAAGTTCTGACTTTGTCTCACCTTCAAAAATCCCCCTTGAATTCAATTCTGCTATCAGTTCCTGTTTTTTTCAACTTCTGCAGGGGCTTGTAAGCTTTTGCCAAATAATTTTTTCGACCATAGGGCCCATTTAGCATCAACTGCTGGCGATCCGACAATGACATC